GGGAATATATAGGTAGAGGTTCTTGGGCTTGCAAAACATTGACCAGTGAATTGTTCGATTCTTCTCAATAGTCAGAGACACATTCAAAAACTGAACATCGCAACTTCCAGAGAAGTCAAATCTCACAGAAGAGTGCCACGAGTTCGCCAAGGATTGAATCTCTTCTCCTTTCTTCGCACAGAGTAATAGCAAATCATCAATGTACCTCACCACTACCTGCAGCTCACTGCCACATGAACTTTGCAAGAAACAGTCCAAATGAGAAAGATACAGGTTTGCAAGGACACCTGCCACAGATAAGCCAGTTGGGATACCCTCTTCAGCTTTGTAGAGCACACCCCCAAACTCAACAAAAACTACAGAGAGAACTATCTCCAAAACTTTTGTGACAAATGTCGCCAGCTGTTGACAAGCAATCCGTGCCCTAATAAAGGGGACGATCAGAGACAGCATATGCGTTCTGCAACTGCTTGGGTACAGGTTGATAGCTTCTAAGGTGATCAACTGCATGCCTTCTCTGCATTTCACATGGCAACGTTTCTCTAGCAATTCGTCTGTGGATAGAATCACTGTGGGAATATGTTGCTGCAAAGGCGCCAACTGCTCAACAAGGAAAGAGGCAAAAGGAATAAACCAAGTCTGTCTCAAATTGCATACCGGTCGAGAACCTGGAGGTTCCTTGTGAACTTTGACCAGAATTCGAAAAGTACCAGCTGCCTTCTGACAAAACCTGGGTCTTAAAAACCGCCGCAAGTCAGTAGTAATCACTTGCGAGTGAAAAAAGAACTCCACCAGAGCCAAAACTCCAGCTCTGCTCTCACTCAGACCAGCAAAATAGGCATTGGAGCTACACTGCACATAGCCTTGAGCTAGTTGTCGATGCACTTGGTTTCTCAGCCATTCTTTTGAAACAACTGCTTCTCCCAAGCCCTTGTCGCAGTCCACCATAGCAATTTCAGTCGCGTGTTGGAAAGCCATTGTCTTGCTTTGCGGTCTACCCAAGTCCAGTTGCTTTGAAAACTCTTCGGCTCGAACTGGTCTTTGCTATCCCCAAGAAGTCTTATGAATTGCTCAATGCGTTTGTTCGAAGTGGAGACCAAGAACTTGGCAGTTTGCACTTTGAAGGCTTCGGACATTCCAGCGGTTGATGATTGAAAAAAGCTCGCGAAAGCAAAGAACGCCGCAAAGCTGGCAACCCAGACTTCAACTGCCTTCAACTGTTGCAGTGGAGTGCAGGGAACTGTGGGAATGAACCTGCCTCCTCTTGAAATGTGTTGCAGCACATATCCGGGACCTGTAACTGACTTGCAGGGACAAGGTTGTGGGCACCCTTGTACTTGGGCTTGTGAAGGATGGAAGAGAAGCGTGCCCTCAAAGTCTGTACAACGATGAACTTGGAAAAACCAAGCGCTGTTTTCTCCTCATCCACCCAAAAACACCTGCCCCTGCTTCTTTTTGCTGTTTTCGCTTTCCTTTGGACTTCGAATTTGTTTTTGCTTTGCTCTTGCCTTTGCCTCCTTTCTGTCTTCACTACCTGAAAATCAGACCGACTTGTTCTTGCCAGCGCTTGAAGAGCGAGAACTACCCCGGCTGGAATTGCGATCTGATTTCAAAATGGGTGGACGCCCTGAACCTCAACTTTCACGTGAATGGCCACGAGGATGTGGAGTTCCTGGACGCTTTGGCTTGACTTTCGATGAGGCCTTGCTCCTCCCAGTGATTCCACATCAAGCACCGCAATCTTCACATCGTATTTCTTTTGCAGTTCTGGCTTGTCTTGCGCCAAGTAGGCTAAGGCACTGTCACTTTTGATCTTAACGGGCTTGCGCGCACCTCCCAACTTGGCAAGCTCAAAAAGAGCTGGGTAGAGCACATCCTTCAAGAATGGCTTTGTTGCTTTTTGCTCTCAAGTCCTTCTCCTTCTCAACCCGTGACTGTGATTTTGGGAATTCTGAACGCAAAAGGCATTCCACAAACAAAGCAGCTTTGGATTGCGATGTGGCCCGGGCTGATTGGTCATCATAACCCAGTTGCACAAACAAGCTGTCAAGTCTGTCTGTCAGCTTTTGTTGCAAAACCGGAAATTTGACCAAGCCGTCATACATCTCCATGCACTTGTCCCGGTGCTGACATACAAAATCGAAACATTATTTCGCATGTCTTCGTCTCATTGACGACCATGCTTCTTTCAGATCACAGTCATCATTCATGTTTGCCTGTTCATTTTCAAGAGGCTGTGCGTGGGCAATGTATAGCTTAGTGAATTGCCACTGGTGTTTTGCTTCAGCTTCAACCTTTCATATTTGTGTTGCCTGGTTTTCTGCGTTGCCCACGCAGAAAAAAATGCTTTTGCTTTCCGCCTCAAACTCTTGGAACACAGTATGGATCTGAGGGCCCACCTCTTCAAGGATGCACTTGGGATCGACATACGGCTTCGAAGCTGGAGCCGCCGAACTGGACGGTTGTGCAGGCTGAGCTGCTGCTTGCTGAGCTTGTAACAAACCTAGCAACAGACGGCTCTGCTCCATAAGCAGTTCTTCAACTCTTGGCGCTCTTGCAGCACTAGTAGGAAAACCTCCAGGCAAAGCCGGTAGACCTGGCGGTGCTGAACCCAAACTCCGAGTCTGGAATGAAGGAACTGGAGTTCTCGGAGACATTCTCTCTCTGAGATTAGAAGCTGGCACGAAGGAATTCTGAGCAATCGCACCACCACCATGAGAGCATCAGATGATATGCCTGAATCAGGCAAAGGCCCATGGTGCTCACGATAAACCTAGCAAATAGCAAAGCACTGCTGAGTTATTAATGGATTATCGGGCGCTGCCGCTCTTTTTTGGCACTTTTCGAGCTTTCGCCCTTAAAGGGCTCTTCTGGAAATTCTTTGTGCCATCAAACTGCGGCGAACGGTGCAAGCATGTGACTGACAACCACATGCAGCACCAAACTGAGACTGCAAAGGAAAAGAATCCTGTTCGGGTGAGATGCCTCCAGATGAGATAAAACGAGATCAAATGAGATGAGACATGACGAGACACGATGGGAAGACATTAAATGAGATCAGATCAAGTGAAACGAGACAAGATGCGATGGAAGATAGATAGGAAAAAAGATTGGTTGAGATGAGAGGAGACGAGATGATACGACATAATTCAAAATCGAGCCCGGAGGGGGGTTAAGTAAAACTTCACACGAACACTGGCTGACCTGCCCCCAGACCCCCGAAGTTACTTTGCTAAGGCAAAAGCCAACTCCAGCTAGCTACCGCTAGCTTCCGTGATTTGCAGATCTAATCGATATCACAATGAATTGCTGTGGGAGCAATACTGCCAGCTGGACCAGCGTCAAGAATTCGTAGCAGGTTTGACGCAGTTCGTAGGCCACACCCTGGAACACGATTGATGCAAAGGTTGCAACTTGGCGCCCCCGATTTCACATGTGTCATGCTCTCCTGCCTCCATAACAGCATTCGGCTGATTGGAGATCAAAACAGCTGCAAACACTGGAGCAACTGCAACCACTGCCAGGAAAAAGGAGATGCACATGTGTCTAGGGTTATCTGTCGAAGTGTGGAAACTAGAAATATTGATGGGGACACGCCCTGAATTGTCATTATGGAAATCCGCCGGTACCGAAGGTGCCGAGACGTTTGCTGTGTGCAGGATGTGGACTGGAAGCAACTGCAAGAATTGTAGCTTTTTTTTGGAGAGTTGCATTTTTACTTTCGAATACTGCGCTTTCCATGTTTTGAAGAGGTTCTAAAATCGACTAAGCTGCTAAGTACGGGCCCAACATAGGCCACCCTTGCCACAACATCGGCCAAATGGGCTCAACATGGCTCAACATGGGCCCAACATGGGCCTGATATAGCACTAATAGAGGCTCAACATGGATGTAAGTGCTGAAAGTATGCTCAATGTAGCATACCAAGGGCTCAACTGATAGCTATTAAGCGCAATACGGCCAGATGTCAAACCGTCCAATGCAAATATCAGCCCCGCCCAAAAGAAACCTTCCAAAAACGAGCAAAAATACACAGTTCTTTTTAGATTAACGTGGTAGCTTTCCGACGCAAACCCCATGCCAAACCCTTGTTGCGCTGTTGCTGGCCTTTTTTGGCAAGAGTTGGTCCTCAAGTATTTGAAGAACATAGATCTCTTTGGGCCTGCGTGGAAGACCATCTAGGGGGCCATGTTGCGCCCAATTGGATGCTTAGGAGCAAATGTCTTAACGCGGTTTTGCTCTGAGGGCCCAAAAAGCAAAACAAAGTCAGAGCTACAAGTATGCTGCAGGATGCTCTCATCTGGGTCTCCAGGCCAGAAGAAACGCGTTTAAAAACCACAATGCCTTCCTAAATTTGACTAAGTATGAGCTGCAATCCAAGCTCAAAGGCTCAAAACTCACTCAACTTCCCCCAACTGGGTTGAAATTCATGATGAAAATACTCTCCAAACTGGCGCGGAATGAGCCCCAGTGCCCCAGTGGCATAGGCAGAACATGAAGCGTGTGGGGGGCCCTTTATGGCTGTCCAAAGTCTGTAGCAAAAATGATCTAGACAGAGATTTTGAAGCACGCGCAAATAACAGAAGGGGAACATACTGGAAGATAAATCGGCCTGTTGATGCGGCCTGGAACCTGTAAATTGAACTGTTTGACATCAATTTCATGGGTTCAACCCAGAGCGGACAATTCTGGTGCAGGCCATTGCCGTCGCGAAGCGACTAGAATAAGTGAGTCTAGTCTGTTTCATGAATAGATTCAATAGGTTTCAAAAATGCTTCCCTGTAGATTTTCAATAAATTCAAGTGAAGTGCTTTGTTGAGTGCTTCTCTTGTCTCTTGCTGAGTTCTGCATTGTTGGCATTGTGTTGTCTTGATTCTCGACTATAGCCTGTGGCTCACTTGACAAAAACAATAACGCGTAACATGTATTCCCTTGCTTTCAGTCAGAGGCGAGTCTGATCAAAGACAACAAATCATAACTACCAAAGCATCTCAAATAAGTCAGTCAAAGTCAGTCAGCAGGTGTTTTCTCATGCCACCCGTTCTGTTTCGAGCCGCATGCACACACCTCTTTGGCCCCGTGAATTGTGCTGCCAGTCGAACAGCGAACTTGCATGCATTGATGGCTGCATTGTAACTGTATTCATCAGGAACCAGGCGCTTTTCGTTTGTCATGATGACCAACAAAATCAGTGCCAACTCCCACTTTCCAGTTTTCTCTAAGGACTTTGTCAAAGAATTGAAAGAGAATGCATCTTGATCCAACCGCACGTCAGTCATGCTCTGAAAATGCTGCATAGCTACTTGCCACTCCTGCGAATCAGCGCACACACTAATCGCGGAATTGAAGCTGATGCAGTCGGCAGCCGCCTGGAGAGAGGGTAGTGAGTAGAGCACAGAGATTGCAAGCTGCCAGCCATGGAGGTGGCCCAATCGGCCCAAGCTGCCCGTCTCACATGCACTGATGAAACTGTTGCAACACACATCAGATATTCTTGATGTTTCTTTGGACCTTTGCAAAAAGCTCATAGATCGCTCCCAGCACAATTCGCTAGCTATGATGGAACTGAGGCCAAACACGTCCACGCTGAGCTGAAGCTGTTCTGCCGCAGTTGCAGCCGCCAACGCCATCCTCCAAGAACTTCTTGCAGCACTGAGAACGGCATTGTGGATCACTCCGTCAGACTGGACATTTGCAGCGCTGAGGGCATGGCAAACTTCTAAAAGCTGTGAGGCGCCCAGCCATTGAGTAGCCTTCTCGCAGGCACTAGTCGACACACTCAACAAATGAAGATCAACTTCAAGGGATGCCCAAATTGCGCTTTGGAAGGAAGATAGACAAGCTTTCCAGTTGCCATTGGATCTATGTGCTTCGATTAAGTTGCAATAGCCTTTGTTGGTGTCCACTGCATCTTTGTCCTGACTCAAAATGCCAATCGCGTGCACCCATCGGCTTGCAAGCTGACAAGCCCTTGCACCAGCATGGAAGCCTTTGAAGTCTGTTGCACTTTTGAAAAAAAAAAGTATAGCAAGACGAACTACCGGGAGCCTTCTCCAACTGGAATTTGCCAAAACTATCTGGAATTAAACCAGACTTGTCTAAAAAAAAATAGAAACATATTCCAAACAGCCTCGAACTAATTTCATGATCATGCCACGGGGCTTAATTCGTCACGAGCCAAGCAAAGTAGCGCCATTCGATCAAGGTTCACCACGGATGCCCTGAGATATGACCACACTCACTAGATGGTCGTCAAACAGCTGGCGTGGTCAATTTGAGTCCACTGACCGACAATGTACGTTTGATTTGATGGAAAAATACAATCTGAGTGGAGCAACTGTGACAACCACTGTCTGAACACGCAGGAAAATTGGCTGTCTGAAAGAGTGACCATTCTGAGAGGAACTCAACGTTTGAAGACGAAGAAGTAGGCAGGTACAAACAGTACGTCACTTGGTGCTGTGTCACACGCATGCTGCTTGTGACTGCCTTCATTATCACATTGTCACCTTTGGATAGTCAAACTTTCTCTATCCTGGCTTTAATGACAGCTCTTGAAAAATCTGCTTATCTGAATACGGAGTGAACGTAAAAGAGGAACGGTGGCGATTCAATGGTCTAAAGCTAGACTCAAAGTCTCCAAAGTCAAAGATTGAAGCGATACTATGTGTTTTTCACAACCGCAGTGCACCGCGGCAACGGTCTGCCAAGATGCCTCCAGTCCATAGTTGTTCCAATCATATTCACAAAACTGCCAAAAATGATTTCATTGGGTCGCACCAGCCATTCCTGGGCAAGCGTCTAAGACTAAGATTGAGCAAGGGATTTCCAGGGTCATAAAACAGTTTTACCTGTTTCTGAAATATTCCAACCACCTACCGAGATGCCACTTGGGCAACAGCTTGCAGTGCAGACAAAACTCTGACATGTGACAAAGGATGCTGTTCCCAGTGCGCCAGGTTTGGGCATCACAGCGACCTAGCAGCATACCATAGTTCACCACATCAGGCCTTGAGTTTTTGGAGGCTGGGCAACACGTTGGTAACGGGCTACACATGAAAAGGGATGAATAGGACATGCAAAAAGATTTTTTCGCTCAATCTACTTGTCAGCAACAAACGAAGCAAAAAAGAAAAGTACTCCACCTCCAAGTTTTCCAAGGGAAATACTGAAATGGACCCACCAGCATTCAAAATAATTCAAACATATTAAAAAACAACAGTCCTTCCTTGGAGGGAACAGATCGATCCGGGCGTCCAACCATCCGTATTTGTTTTGATCTGGACTTTATGTTGCCTTGTAGTTGTGGTTTTTTGGCGGCCCGTAGCGTTGAACTTCTGGAATTCAGAACCAAAGGCCGTTGGGGTCATGTTTTGCTCTTACTTACAAATTTGAACAACGCGAAAGGTTCGCAGGCAAAAACAAGGATTTGAAGAGCGGCACCAGTTTTGTGTTTTTCCATTTTGGGTTTTTGTTGGGATCATTCATCATTCATGCCTGCACTTCGAACCATCTGTCAGTGCTTCATTCCTTTACGTTTGTCTGTTGCTCAAGAAACCTGCAGTTCGACCAGTCCAAACCGCTAATCAGAACCATTTGGATAGTCAAGGTCATCAAATCCAAGTGCATAATTCACTGGCGTGGTTTGTTTGACCTTGCAAAGAAACAAAACCTTCGTTGTTTGTAGACAAATATAAACCATTTACATCTATGTCTATGTGCGTATAAATATATATATATATACATGTATGGTCCCGGTCTCCGGCCCCGTACCCGCCCCCGATAGTATGGCCCCCCTTTTGCCCAGCACCCTGTAACGTAGCATCAAGTGTCTGTGCAAGTACCAGGGAAGATCTTTTAACGTAGCACCAAACGAAACGTCTGTGCAAGCGTGCAAGTACAAGAGAAGATCTTGTAACCACAAGTGTCTGTGCGAGAACAAGAGAATGTCTATTAATGTAGCACCAAGCGTCTGTGCAAGTACAAGAGAAGATCCTTTCAGAGACCATCAGGTGTTTGCGCATATAAAATAGAAGGTCTTGGAACGCAATATGAGGCGTCTGTGCACGTACAAGACAAGATCTCGTAACGTAGCATCAAGCGTCTATGGAACTAGGAGAGAAGATCCTTTAACTTCTTTTAAAGTTGCATCAATTGCCTGCGAGTGTAGAATAGAAGGTCTTGCATAAATCAACTGTCTGTGCAAGTACAAGAGAAGATCCAAGTGCCTGTGCAAGTAAAAGAGAAGATCCTTTCAGAGACCATCAGGTCTCTCCGCATGTAAAATAGAAGGTCTTGGAACGCAACATGAAGTGTGTGTGCACGTACAAGACAAGATCTCGTAACCTAGCATCAAGCGTCTATGGAAGCAGGAGAGAAGATCTTATAACTTCTTTTTAACGTTGCATCAATTGTCTTCGCGTGTGGAATAGAATGTCTAGAAGGTCTCGTAGCGTAACATCAACTGTCTGTGCAAGTACAAGAGAAGATTTTGTAACGTAACATCAAGCGTACATACATACCTACCTACCTACCCACCCACCCACCTACCTACCTACACACATACATACACACACATATACACACATACACACACATATACACACATACACACACAGAGACATACATACATACATACATACATTACATTACATTACATTACATACCATACATACCAACCATACATACCAACCATACATACCAACCATACATACCAACCATACATACCAACCATACATACCAACCATACATACCAACCATACATACCAACCATACATACCAACCATACATACCAACCATACATATCAATACATTACATTACATTACATTACATTACCATACATACATACATACATTACATTACATTGCATTGCATTGCATTACATTACATTACATTAATACATACATAACATAACATAACATAGCATAGCATAACATAACATAACATAAATACATAAATACATAAATAAATAAATAAATACATACATACATACATACTTACTTACTTACATTACATACTTACATACATACCTACCTACCTACTTACCTACCTACCTACCTGCATACCTACATACCTATATACCTACATACCTATATACCTACATACCTACATGCATAACTATCTACCTACCTAACTACCTAACTACCTACCTACCTACCTACATACCTACATACCTACATCCCTACATACCTGCATACCTACCTACATACCTACAACCTACATACCTACGTGCCTACCTGCCTGCCTGCCTGCCTATACCTCTACCTCACCTCACCCTCACCTCTACCTGTACCTCTACCTCTACCTCTACCTCTACCTACCTACCTGAATTATAGTGAACATGTCACATGTGATGCACCCTGTCATGCATTGTGTAGACACGTCCCCTAAAGTAGGTTGCAGGGGGAGGGGAGAGACCCCCCCATTCGCACAGGGGGGTGGGGACCAGGGCCAGGAATGGGACCATGACCATGACGGTGGGGTTGGGGCTGCAGGCCTGTACCATATATATATATTATATATTATATTATATATATATTATATATATATATATTATATTATATATTATATATATATATTATATTTTATATTATATATATATATTATATTATATATATAATATTATATTATATATTATATGTATATATATATGTGTGTATGTATGTATATACATATGTATGTATGCGTATATATATATATATATCAGGCGCGTTCAAAACTCAATTGCTTCGGAGAGGTAGCAAAATGGAAGTTGTCTTTTTTTGGGTGGTCCTATCACTTTCCATGGTTTTGTTCAAATCAACACTAAATAATACACAAAAATCGGAATTGTTTTCATCACAGATTTCCAAAATCAGTTTCATGGACCAGGTCAACTGGCAAAGTTCCCTTTCTTTTTCTTCTCTTTGTTTTCTTGGTAAAAATATCTCAGCTCCTTTTCTGTTTGCAGAAAGCATGGCTACAGTAAGAGGCAAACGGCTAAAGCACTGTGGAAAAAGATACCAATGGGATCAAATGAGTCTACCCTTGGTCCGGGGTTCCTTTTTCAAAAAACCGTTATCGCTAAGTTATCGCGCAGGCTGTCACCAATTAAGAACACCTGAATGAACAAGGAAGGAAAAGAAAGAAGCATGCGGAACAGAAAGGAACAATTAAAATTTAAAAGGAAAAAGGAGGGAAAACAAAAGCAAAAAAACAAAGGAAGAAGACCGGACAAGTTAAATAAAGAGGAAATACACACAAATCAGAATTGGGTTTAGATTAATGTTGATTTACTTGAGAATATAAATTGCATTTAGTTCCAAAAAATACTAGGAACAAGGAAGGAAAAAGAGAAAACAAAGGAAAGAACATAAACAAAAACCAGGGAAATCCGCGAAATTCAGAATTAGATATCAAATTAAGTTTGACTTAATTCAGAATTAAAGTGAAATTGCGCTTAGCTTTAAAAAAGGTAAGAAGCCAACGGACAAGTCAAATAAAGGGAAATAAACCGAACAAGAAAGGACAATAAAAAGAAACCGCAAGGAAAAGGAAGGAAGATAAATAGAAAGAAGGGGATAAGAATTAAAAAAGAAAAGGCACAAAGAAGGCCCTGGAGGTTCTCATCTTTCAATTTCCTTGGTTTGCTATGATTTTTACTGGTTTTCACTGATTTTTGACGGTATGGGGCACTTTTGACATTCAATTTACTACATATCCCATCTTTCAATTTCCTTGGTTTGCTATGATTTTTACTGGTTTTCACTGATTTTTGACGGTATGGGGCACTTTTGACATTCAATTTACTACATATTGGATCATATTAGAGCTAAAATCTTTCATGCGCGCTTTTCATCACTTGTTCTATGGTTTTCATTGATTCGTGAGTTTCATTACGTGACCGAGAATTGAGGGTAAGGGTCTTAGTTTAAATGTGCTTATTTCATCTGCAATTGCGAAAAGAAGACACTCCCAAAAAATATGGAACAGAATCAAAGAAACGGATCATTTGAACCAGTTCCAGGTTCCACGTAAACTCGCGCAGTCACAACGTTAATCAAGAATGTGATAATGGAGGGATTAGGATAGGTGTTTTCTTCTTCACATCCGTAACCATCGAATGTCTTGTTATGAAGTGCTCTTTTAGTTCACGTATGTTCCCTTCGTGGCCCAAGCTTTCAACATGCTTCGCCTGTCTTATGCTCATCAATTCGTTTGCTATGATATGCAGTTCATGCGTGATTTGCAATTTCACGGGATGATGCGTAGTGAAAGTCTTTAGGAAAGAAAAGCTGAACCCTGCTCTATATCTGCTTCCATACTCATATCATATTATTATATATATATACGTTTATTTCAAAACATGTCGCACAACATGTTTACATATGTGTATATTTGACCTCTTCGTTGCAACATTTCGTGCAAATGCTTCTTTTCAGTGCAGCAGTAAGTACTGTAGCATTCGGAACTATCAAATCAACTGGCTTAAAAAGGACTGGCTATGAATCTAGGATGGCCCTACATACTCGTAGAATCTCATAGATCTATTTCAAGCCGGACTTCCGCAAAGTGCTGCTCGGGCTCAAACAACAAAACAACTTTCTTTGAGTTGAGTGTACTGAGTCTGGGTGTACAGTAGAGGAAAGGCTTGGAGACCCACAAATGCCAACGTGTCTTCGTAACGATAGACGACGGCGTTCACACTTCGAGACCGTGTCCGATTTTGATGCTTGCTTCTAGACTTAATAGATGTCCACTGAGTCGTCTGGCACTTCTCAAAGTCTCAAAAATCGGTTGGAGACTTCTAGACCTAGATGCAACTAAGAGACTTCAGATTGCATCTTCTCATCTGGTAGACTCGTCCTCAGCTCCTTTTCTCGTGCTATCTGTTTGTTCAGGAAACGCAGATGTTGGAACATGACAATACAAGTTGCTTCAGATTACATATATTAAAATTGCCATGATTTACAATGTATTCTTAGACACTCAAATATCAATGAAAACTTCGAAAGTTCATTACCAAGGTATCTAGGTTTATGCCGTAGCTAGCTGAGAAGTACGATTGAAATTTCTGTGCATTCTTATGCGTCACTGCATATTATTGCATCACCTACCATCACCTTGTGCTGTGCCAAGTTGCCAAGTTCACAATCCCAACTCCCAGGACTCCCACTGCCAGCACTCCCAGGACTCCCTGTTTGCACGTCGTGTCGAAGCATGCGGAATTTCATCTCTGAGAGCAGCTTGCAAGACAGCTGCCAGGAAACCGCACTCGTCATAGCATTGTAGGTGGTAGTGCTCGGAGATATCAAAGCATTCTGGAGATGACGGAGGAGATAAAATGCAAGCTTCCATTCCAAGCAGGTGCCTGCAAAACTGTTCATGTCTGCAACTCCAAACGCCTTCATCTGGCCACTTCCGAAAGCAACGACAAATGGAGGATTCAAAATCTTGCGAAGTCAAGTCAAGATACTGATGATGGTGTTGTAGGTCACTTCATTTGGCTGCATTGACTGCAAGGAAATGGACCCTAGATGATGCACAGCCAGCTGCCAAGAACGTGACCGCAAGCATGCGTTTATTGCGACGTTCTTGTGAATCAAATTAAGTTGAAGACGCAAGGCCAATAGCTTCTTCAAAACCTGCAGGAACAAATCTCCCCATGAGGGGTGGCTTGGGTACCTATATAAAACAAACCTGGCTCCGTCGGCTTCAACGAAAGTCTCACTCCAAGTCTTACACTAAGTTTCACACTCAGTCCTACACTCAGTCTTACACTAAGTCTTACACCAAGTCTCACACTCAGTCCTACACACAGTCTTACACTAAGTCTTACACTAAGCCTTGAAGCCTTGCACTAAGTCTCACACTCACTCCCACACTCAGCCCTACACTCAGTCTTACACTAAGTCTTACACTAAGTCTCACACTCAGTCCTACACTCAGTCCTACACTCAGTCTTACACTAAGTCTCACACTAAGTCTCACACTCAGTCCTACACTCAGTCTTACACTAAGTCTTACACTAAGTCTCACACTCAGTCCTACACTCAGTCGTACACTAAGTCTTTCACTAAGTCTCACACTCAGTCCTACACTCAGTCTTACACTAAGTCTTACACTAAGTCTTACACTCAGTCCTACACTCAGTCTTACACTAAGTCTTACACTAAGTCTTACACTCAGTCCTACACTCAGTCCTACACTACGTCTTACACTAAGTCTTACACTCAGTCCTACACTCATTCTTAGACTAAGTCTTACACTAAGTCTCAGACTGAGTCCTACACTCAGTCTTACACTACGTCTCACACTCAGTCCTACACTAAGTCTCACACTCAGTCCTACACTCAGTCTTACACTCAGTCTTACACTAAGTCTTACACTCAGTCCTACACTCAGTCTTACACTAAGTCTTACACTAAGCCTCACACTCAGTCCTACACTCAATCTTACTCCAAGTCTTACACTAAGTTTCACACTCAGTCCTACACTCAGTCTTACACTAAGTCTTACACCAAGTCTCACACTCAGTCCTACACACAGTCTTACACTAAGTCTTACACTAAGCCTTGAAGCCTTGCACTAAGTCTCACACTCACTCCCACACTCAGCCCTACACTCAGTCTTACACTAAGTCTTACACTAAGTCTCACACTCAGTCCTACACTCAGTCCTACACTCAGTCTTACACTAAGTCTCACACTAAGTCTCACACTCAGTCCTACACGCAGTCTTACACTAAGTCTTACACTAAGTCTCACACTCAGTCCTACACACAGTCTTACACTAAGTCTTACAATAAGCCTTGAAGCCTTGCACTAAGTCTCACACTCACTCCCACACTCAGCCCTACACTCAGTCTTACACTAAGTCTTACACTAAGTCTCACACTCAGTCCTACACTCAGTCCTACACTCAGTCTTACACT